TCTGCGCCGACCATGCGGATAGTGAACCTAAAGCCAATCGCGGTATAGGCTTTCGAAAGGGTTGGTGATGCCGCTAGGGTCTCTCTGAATGGCCTCAATAGCTTCCTGGACATCGGAGATGAGGGTGGGCAGCTTGCGACGGAAATGCTCGGTCTTCAACAGGGATATAAGGCGGCGGTTGAACTGGTTATCCACATCATGGTCCCTGCCATGGCCATCGTCATACTTGTCTACGGCAGGTGTCTGGCCAAACAATACCGCATACCCTGCGGCGAACCCCAGATCTTTGCTTTCGAAATTCAGCTGTCGTCCGCTGTCACCCGACAATGCGACCACTGGATGTGATCCCACGTGAAAAGAGAAATGACCTGTCTGCGACTGGCTAATGCGTTGTCTGTACCAATCCCACCGTCGCATCCAGAACCCCCAGGCGCCACTTATGGGATAGTTGTCGCGGATCTCTTGTGGAGCATTGGCCGGAAGTGGGCGAATAACGAAAGTGTGAACAACCGCGTATATGGGCAGGAAGACAGCAAGACCATAAAGGAGGGCGAGTGTAGGAGAGGTCGTTATATACTGGACGAGGTCGTGGAGAGCCATTGCGGATGTTATGTGGCAGATCTTTGATCGCGAAGTACGGAGGTGCCTTTCAAAAGCATTGTCTGCCAAGAATAATCTAGCCGAAGTACGGCCGCCTTAGCCGAGGCTTCTCTCTCCCCTCTATGTACTCATTGCCACCTTGTAACTTAATTATCTTTTGAATATGTACAAGAATTCGCTCAAACTAAGCCTGGATCTTAAGTTGCGAGAGATCTCTCCAGCAGTTCTGCCAGATTCTGACTACCTTAGCCCTTAACTGCGGAGCTCCTTTCTTTGTAGTCTCTCTCTTTATATAGAAATAGCATGGCTCAATACAGTTACAGTCTGGCGAGTTACCACACTAGAGTAGTCTCTCAACATCGTGCAGGCGATAGATCACACTCTGATAGTGGTGGGCGTGGCTAGGTGCCTTATCCTCTATTACGACAGTCTGAGGTCTATCTTAGAGGCACTCTTTAGCGAAAGGAATTAGCTTTGGGATTAGAACGCAGGTCTGATATCTCCACTAGTCTATACCACCTCTAGACGTACGCACTAGCTTGCCTGACGGCGCTGTCTATCTTTATTAAGGTTTTCTGCTACCCTTATTGCGCAGCCTTGTCCTCCTTATAGACTCTAACAGCTCCTATTCCTCTCTCTATAGAGGCTTAAGCTTAGCGTTTAGCTGCTTAATCTAACGAGCAGCATCCTCTTTCTCTACCTTCGTCTCTAGCTAGTAGACATAGCATAGACCTTATCGTACAAGAAGCAGCCCTAGAACATAAACTTAGAGTATCCCTTCTATCTCTCACGGATACAGCTTTTGATTGCTCTCTCATCGGCCTTCCTCTAGACTCTATACCCCCCACGTTGGTGGTTAATTACTACCGACGTCTCGTCTGTCTAGATGACATTCTTCTAGTCCTCTAACGTCTAGTCCTTATACTCTAATACCTACTTAAGACGAGCACTCCTTATCTCCTATGTTAACCTAGGCTTCCTCGTTAGCTTAGTTTTCCTATATTCTGCTACTCTTAACACCCTCTAGATAGTAGAGGTAGAGATTTTAACTCCTTAGAGACTAAGCCTACTAGCAACGTTAGTATAGCTCTTCTCTCGTCTATATCTATCGTATCGTACTTGTTAAAATATCTACTTCTTTACCTCCTCTACCTACTTAGTAGGTCTACTAGGCTTTAGAGAATCCTAAACTTAGTGTAGAAGGATCTTAATAAAAAGTTTGTTTAGCTTAAAGCCTATAGTAATAGCTCTACTATAGATAACATGATCCATGGGCGAGCGGCGCACACGGGCGAGCGGCGCACACGGGCGAGCGGCGCACCCCACCAACTTTTGCAACTTTAAAGCGATGCATCTCAACAACGCGATAATATTATTGCTAGATATTAATACAGTAGATTACTCTATATTAATAGTATCAGTCTTGCATGTGCGCGAGTTGTGCCCAGTCTCCTTGCACCTGGTGCAGCGCCTTTGAGCCCGCTGGCTAAGGCCTGATCGCGCTCCTCCTTGACGCTCTTCATGAGCAATCTGCTGGTCAGCCTCATTTTGAGCTAGTATATCCTCTCCAGCTCCCTTTGTGAGTACTCCATGCTTCTGTATACGCCTTTTAGAGCGCTGCCTACGCGCTGAGGCTGCGCTGTTAGCCTTCTCAAGACTAGAGATCTAATCGCGCATCAGCTCAGCAGACAGCATCATCACCTTAGCGCCCTTCTTCAGCTAGTCAATCGCCTCAATAATCGAAGCTGGTGATGAGCTCTTATGCTGGCGCACGCGCTCACGTATAAGGCTTAACTAAGCCTCAAGCTCACGCGCGTTGCTCGGCGTTTGAGCTACCTAGGGAGCATCTGGTAGAGCTGCTGGAGGAGTAGGTGTACGCAGCTGTACATCTAGCTTTAATAGAACAGCCTCTGGTTGTAGAGGAATAAGGCCTGCGCCGCGGAAGGCTGAGTAGATATTAGCTGGCGTGAACGCTCGATCAAACGCAGCCTTAAACGCAGGCAGAAACTCTAGCTTGGTGATGTGGTTGATGTGGTTGCGCATAAGGCTCTCCACCTCACGGCTATACGCGCGCTTTAATGGCGAGAAGCAGCCAACATCAAGTGGCTAGAGTAGGTAAGATAAGTAAGGAGGCATATAGAGCGTATAGATATTGTTCTCTTTACAAAGCTCCTAGAACTCTAGAGATTAGTAGCTCTTATAGCTATTAATAATAAGCAGGCGACGCGCGCCTACACTACGAGCCTGCGTGTAAGCGTTAAAGTGCTTTAGCTACTTAACTCTAAGCTTATTATTTGTCTAGCTATTATCGCTGACTGCGATCGCCTAGTCGCGTAGGATCTTAGCTTCCTTATACTAGGCTAATAGGTAGTACTAGCTAGCGAAAATAAGGAACGGTAGGACTAACCAGCTAGCAGCGCTAATAGCAGCGATTAGCGTTACCTACTGTCAGATAATAGCACTGTTGAAGATGAGAGCGTACAGACGCTGGGTTAGACTAGCGCGACCCGGCATCTGAGAGAGCCAATCGGATCACAGGAAGGCTTGGCACCCCCCAGGTGTGCCCACAACCGTAGACAGAACCAACACACAATCAATCATCAATATCATCACCATTTTTACCTATTTCATCAGTATTCCAGACGAGAGTGAATATCTGACACCTACTCGCGATTACCTAGCTAAATACTCTTTAGCCTACCTCTCCTCTCTGCTCCTGTTATAACTAGCTGCGTTGTAATCTTATCTATTATAAAGCTAGCTTTATCAAAGTTATAGACGTCCTTATCGCAAATACCTAGCTTAGCCTTTGTCTCTTCTATAAGCTTAAACCACCTCTTTATTAATATCGCATCCTTATAAAGAGCTCTCTGCCTATTATACGCTTAGTTGAAACACGTCTAAAGACTGTCTGTACGCTTAACAAAGGTAGATAGCTAGTTAACTCTAACCTGCTCTCTACTACGCGCAGCTAGCAGCTTATTAGCTATATCACGTACAGCTGTGTAGGTAGGCGCAAATCCACGCAGATCTAGCTAAAGTATATAGCTAATAATCACCTCCTCTTCTCTCTAGGTAAGCTTCCTTAAGTTGGGCGGGCAATCGCGTCGGGCAGGTATACCAGCGCGTCGGCGGCGGAGCGTTGTTTCGGCTACGTTGTAGACTACTGCAACAGTACGGGTACCTCAGATCTAGTGCGCATTAATAGATAAGATAGCAAGCTAAATATCTGCTGTATTTGATAGTAATTAAGTAGCGCTGCGTTGAGCCATTGTAGATTAAGATCAGTAAGGTGAGTAAAGTTGGTGGGGTGCGCCGCTCGCCCATGGATCATGTTATAATTAATAGTATAAGAATAAATACTAGTTAGCGTAAAGACTTATAACGTATTCTTGCTAATAGGAGGTGACTTTAACGCGATTACTAAGGTACGGGTATATATATTAGTATAAGGAGCTATAGTAATAAAATAACTACGTAGTAGCAGGTAGACTAATTAAACAGCTCCTTAGCTTAAAGGTTAGAGTTACGCTAAGAAGAGTTTCGCTAAAGCGCCGAGATTAGCGTCAGACAATACTTTTGAAAGGCACCTCCGTACCTAGCTACGGAAATATAAGTGTCCGTGCAGAACCCTTGCTTGGAAGATCCGGATCCCGTGTCAAATGAACCCTTGGCTCAATTGGATCTCAACCTTGATTCTCAACTCAACGAAAATATCGGTACCAGGGGAGGTCCGGATGCGGGGAATTGGACGAACAGGTACGGCCTTTTGCATTGTGAATTGTAAATCCGTCGTTTCCCCCAAAGGTTTCTCTGACGTACGCCCAGCTCGCGCCCAACCCTTGGTGTATTCTTAGTGTTGTTGCGCAGCGTCATGCCTAGATCACCTTGGGTTAGTCCAGGTATGCTGCTAACCCTGGAGATCTAACGTTTTTGCGTCAAGGCGGCAGGTCGTATACGTCGTATACGCCTGTTGTTATACAGCGTCGTGAACTTGTTGATTTAGTAGGGAGGCGTTCAGACTACAAGATTATTGCGTAGGAGAATGTACCTAGCGTTTTATCTTGTTTCATCCTATTTGCAACACTCAATTCCGCCGAATACGACCCTATTGTGATGGGAAACCGCCTACGCCTGTCGGTATACAGACGTAGAGTGATGATACAGTATACGGAAACAGAGACGTGGAGACTACCTAGGTACATGATCAATCCATTTGCAAGCCAAAGCGCAGGTGAAGGTGAGATGGCTAGCGTGCGCGCAGCGTTTGCTGCCTAACGTGTCCGTGCACCTCATGCCCGGATTCATCTCATGCCCCGCCGAACACCGACGCGTGTCTCAATACTACAACTTTGACGCGCAATAACTCCACAACTATGGCTCCGATTGATGAAGCGATTGCAGATTTAGAATCGCGCGATCCAGGAGAGAAATTCACATTAAAAGAAGTTGCTGAAAAATGGGGGGTTAACCGCTCAACGCTAGGGCGAAGATGGAGGCGCGTGACAGGGCCTAGGAGCGATGGATACGCTCAGCAGCAAGCTATCGGCCCACAACAAGAGTTAGAGCTTGTACGATATATCACTAAGCTCACTAAGCAAGGCCTACCTCCTACAAGAGAGATGATCAGGAATTTCTCATCAGAAGTAGCCCATCAGCAGCTCAGCGAGAGCTGGGTTACTCGCTTCATTAACCGACACGAGATCTATCTTATCTCAAAGTGGACTACCGCCATGGATCGTACGCGCCACCTGGCTGATTCTGAGTCAAAGTATAGACTCTACTTCGAGCTGCTGCACCAGAAGATCACCGAATACCACCTAGAGGCTCGAGATATATACAATATGGATGAAAAGGGCTTCCTTATTGGTATGATAGGCAGGAGTAAGAGGATATTTAGCAGGCGTCAATGGGATAAGAAAGAGGTTCGAGCATCTCTCCAGGATGGATCACGCGAGTTTCTGACACTCCTGGCCTGCTGCTGCGCCGATGGGAGCTCGCTGCCTCCAGCCCTTATCTACGCAGCTAAAAATGGAGCCATACGATCGAGTTGGGTGGAGGATATTAAGGCAGGAGAACATGAGGTCTTTGTCTCATCATCTCTAACAGGCTGGTCAAACAATGACGTAGGCCTAGCTTGGCTAGAGCAGGTGTTTGATCGCTATACAAAGCAGCGATCAGGGAGATGGCGATTGCTCATCCTTGATGGCCATGGATCTCACCTCACGATGGAGTTTATCAAGTACTGCGATCGCCATAGGATCCTCCTCATGATCCTTCCTCCCCATTCGACTCATACGCTCCAGCCGCTCGATGTAGTGCTGTTCAAGCCACTCTCTCAAGCCTACTCCAACGAGCTCACTAACCATCTCTACAAGGCTCAAGGCCTCATTCCAATTAAGAAAGGAGACTTCTTCCCACTCTTCTGGAGAGCTTGGCAGGCCTCGTTTAAGCAATCAACTATATTAAAAGCGTTTGAAGCTACTGGTATATGGCCAATAGATCCCAACGTTATCCTTCGTAGATTTGCCAGCACGCCAGAAGCTGAGAGAAGCTCATCTTCAGGGCTCTCTGATCATGACTGGAGAAAGCTCGATCGGTTAGTACGAGCTGCTGTCAATGATAGCCATCAGTATGAGGCAAGAAAGCTGCGCTCAAGCGTTCACCATCTCTCTGTGCAGTATAAGCTTTTACAGCATGAGAACGAGGGCTTAAAGGAGGCTCTTCAACATAAAAAGAAGCATAAGAAGAAGGGCAAAGCTCTTGACCTTCAACAGCGCCAGGAGTATCACGGTGGCTCTGTCTTCTGGTCTCCTCGCAAGATACGCGAGGCTCGAGCTAGAGAAGTAGTACGGGAGCGAGATAAGATAGAGGAGAAACTCCAAAAAGCACAGGCCAAGAAGCAGCGTGAGGAGGTTCAACTGCAGCGTCAAGTTAAGCTCGAGGAGAAGCGTGTAGAGAGGCAGAGGCTCAAGGAGATAAGGGAGCTTGAGCGAGCTGAGAAAGCAGCTGAACGCGCGCGCAAAGTTGAAGCTCAACACCAGAAAAAAGCCACCCAACAAGCTCAACAACGCAAGCGTAAAGCCTCAAGAGCGCCCTCTTCTAAGAACAAGCGTCAAAAACGAGCGATGGAGGATAGAGCTCGCGATAGAGTTGCATCTCCTCCATCGCCTCCACCACCAAAGACCACATCACGTGGCCGCAACGTCAACCTCCCACAAAAATTCAGATAGTACAAGTTAATCGCAAGTATCTAATTACTGCAATGCTATGTTTTTATTAATATTAAGCTATTGTGTGGTGTTGTACAGCTTCAAATTTGAGATCGCTAAGATGGTGTTCGCGGGGCATGAGATGAATCCGGGCACAAGGTGCACGGACACGTTACAGATTTTGCTCTCATCTACTCAAATTCTCAACTCCTGTCATTCTGCACTACCACCACACCGCGCATCTTCGAGCGCTTCCCCTATATTAAAGAGTTCCAAAAATGTCCGACTCTCGCCTCGCCTTAAAGCTCGAATGCCAACAGCCTATCTTAGATAAAGCTGCCTTCAGGGCTGCGGCTGCTGAGGCCGGTGGCGAGCCAGTACCGCCAATCCTCAAGAATACGCTGTACTTGATAGGCAAGCATGCTAGTGCTTACTCTGTATGTATCCGTCTCTCCCAAACTCTATGGTTACTCTGCTAATATACTGTCTAGTTCGATAATTGATCATTCCTAGACATCAAGACGCTGGAAGCAACATTTGGGTCTGACCTAGCACACCGCCTAGTGAAGGAGGGACTCGTCGCGCAGGAGTCCAAGACGCCCATTCAAACACCCGAGGCTGCGCAGACGTCTATCCAACGTACCCAGCCGCCTAGAGAGCCCTCTTCGTCGCATGATCAGCCCTTCCACCCGCCTAGATAACTACAACCGCCTCCGCCACTGCCCAAGAACCCCGAGTATCCTCCCAAGACACCGAGCTACGAAAAGCCCGACCTGCGAAAGGCAAACAAGTCCCTCAACACTTTGCACTACTCGCTCCCGGAGCACTGTCGCCGGGGCTGGGAGCCTACACATTCTAGTTACGCCTACGCCGACAGAGCCCCTAGATACTGCCAAGGGACCCACCATACAACCAAGGGCGACCCATCGCACGGAAAGATTAACAAGCTCATGCTTTCCAACCGAGACATCGAGCACTGGGATAAAAACTGCTTAGACCCTCACTTCTGCTACGACTACATGTTGACGGGCCGATGTGCCAAGATGCAATCGTGCTACTTGCGGCACATTGCGCCGACCAGCGAGGAGCTAGTGAGTCTACGATGGTATAATCCTAGGCTTTGGGAGACGATTGCCAAGAGGTTTCGACAGCGCGCGGCTTTCGATGTGTGCCCCTATACTAAGCTGTTTCCCTGTATGTACCTCTTGTTGATATCCTTTGTTGCGCTTCCACTGACTTGATACAGCCGAAGAAGCGGTTGCGGCTGCCCTGCCAGGGTATTCCAAGAACGCGCCTGCGCTTGAGTCCAAGACCGAGGCCAGGAATAAGGTCAAGATTGAGCCTCTCTTTGGTGGTGGCTTTGTCTAGAAAGCCTTGCCAAGTGAGAAGGTTTAGATATCGATGTCTCTTAGACACATGAATCAGGATTTGCATGCACTCTTTAAACTTTGGCGTCTGTGAATTATATGTGTACCAATGTCTATATAATCATATTTAAGTCGTGAGTAATCTGTTTTACACCACGTTTGCTCCCGGGCCAGCAGGTGTAAGAAATGAGCACGACTATGTGCATTTGTACAGCAAGTTCCTGGTGGGCAGAGCGACTGTGTAAGCATCTTACCCCAGGTTCCTATTTCTTGAGTTTGTGAGGCGAACGGAACCAAGACGGAATTAACTTTTTGGTGCACTGGTCGTGAAGTTCATAGACCTGATATTACTTTCCATATCTATACTCCTAGAGAATACCTTGCAATACACCATAGAGCGACTTCGAAGATTGAGAGAGGAGTGACTCCAGAGCTCCGCGATCAATCTTGAGGTAGACATTCATGGATACCGCGTTGTAAGGGGATTGAAATCATATATGAAGGTTGATGTACAGGTCGTAGACTACGATTTGTTGATTGGATAGTAAGAAAGGGAGGTAATGTTGCAGCGCGCTTTTTCGCAAAATTGTTACCACGTGCACTCTGACCGAAGATTCCACAAAATTCGTAGCGCACAAACATGGACATGGTCAGTTGGATTATGCGTCGTCCGGTATTGAAATAGGATTTTCCGGCCCACCGGCTGCAGGCTTCTGGATCATCTTGGTAGGCGTTTTTTGGTGTTTCTTGGAAGTGGATGGAACATGAGATAGTACCGTGACCATGGAAAATCCAAGAACGACAACGAATGCGGAAAATGCCACCGAGTTTCGACATAGAACAAGGGTAACTAAGCTGTAGAATAGCGTTGAGAACTGCCAGAAGAATTTTCGTAGGTAGAACTGGACGCGGGATGCAGTGATGCAAATGTTTGTGAGCTGAGTCCTGGCATATGCGTGATAAGCCTTAATATGATCGTATCTCGTTAAAGGTGCCAGTATCTTCGTCCATTGCGCGCGACGGTCGTCGTGTGACCAAGCCAGTACATCAAGGGATATTGGCGATCTTTCCTCGAGCAGATATTTCCACACAATGTTCAAGTGTCCAAGATTGTAGGGCTTTTCTCGGCGCAAAAACGTTTCCCATCTCTTGACAGTATCCTTAGCAAAATCCTCGCTCACAACAAACCACTCCTCGTGCTGCTTCCCACGATTAGTATACTTGTGTTCCCCACAGGGACGCAGCTGGCGGTGGTCTTCCAAGTCAGCATGCACCAGCCTTTCCAACAGACCACAGTACGGAATGCCATTGCCCGACACGTAGCGTACATCCGGGACGAATCGACAGATTTTACGGTGCTCTGTGGTCCGATAATCATACGGCCTTGTGGTTACACCAATCTTGAACCCCGATTCAGGACTCTTTGGATCGCGAAGAACATACACGAAACCTGGACCCTCTTTGGGGGCCAGGGGGCTCTCCAGCAACTCACGTAGTTTTTCGTGAGTCGACCTAGCAGTCTTCCGAGTTATTGGCGACAATGAGGTGTCTTGGCCTTGGTGGGGTAGCGATCGACTTTCGAGGTTTGAAGTAGTGCCGGCTCTCCTTGATCCACGTGGCAATATATTGAGAGGATTTTGCTGATGAGCCTCGCCCCAAGAAGAAGAGACCTGTCGAATCTCTTCTCTGCGCCGCTTGCAGCTGGTTGAAGAAGCAGTCGGACTAGGAGCATCATCCCTTTCAGGGATCGCTGAGAACGAGAATTCAAGAGTCGGATCGCTTTGCGTGCATGTATAGTACGGCCTTGATCGGGAACGACGTCCCGCGGTGAGACTGTAAGATACCGGTTGAGTGACAAGCGGATTGAACCGCCTATTGACGAGCGGGATTTCTGGAAAGCTACCTGGAATCATATTGGTAATTGTTGACAATTGATGCGTTATGCTGAGAGAGAGAGAGCTGAACTGCTGGAGACCACCATTTAAATATCATATGATTCCTAATTCTCCGTCCTCTGAAGCGCTGAAGGAACACACCCCAGTAACTGCGCGAGGTGTAGGAGCGCAAGTGTGGCAGTGCTGAATGTCACTGCTACGCCTCAATACTGCATTACCCCCTCATCATACGTCTTCAAGCGATCATTTCATGAATGAAGAACATAGTGAACACATCCAACAATGGTGAAATTCATCATAGTGCTTGCACCCACGATATTTACCAACAATTGTTGTGATGTTCATTAGTATCCTCGTGAACACACCTGCTGTTTGGAGCAAGCGTGTTTGCAGTGGGTATCATAGGTCCTCCAGAAGGCTGTGCCCGCGACAAGATATGTACCAAGATTCAATGCAATTCTGCAGGATGCGAGGCGGGTGGCTATGGACCCCATACCTGATGGTGGCTGTGGTGAGCGAGGCTGCAATTGTAAAGTCAGGCATCTTGCATCCTTCAGTAGGGATGAGAACCTGGAGTGTTTGAGTTATAATAAACGGTGACGTTCTACGTAGCAAGGTGCTCTCAGGTAGCGTGATTCCTGCATGTTTAGGCCTCGCTTGAGCAATGGAGAAAGAACACGCGGGAAGAAAACAAGATGTGCGTTTCATGTATCGTGGGTTGACTTCACTTCCCCACGCCCAAAGCTCTTCTCGGCGCTTACGTCAAATCACCATACCCACCATCGCGCGTTATCCGGAAGTAACCCCATATTGGCTTGTGTGATCTATTTACTGTGCATTCTCCAGTTGTTGATGAACGGAATGGAGGCGGAGGCTGCTGCCTGGTGCCTGATCCTTCTAACAACGACTGCGCGTCATTGCTACTCGCGTCATTCCGTACACACTGACATGATTCGACCGGCATGTACACACATGTAAGAGGTGCAATGTGAAACAAGGCGCGCAATGGATACTAAAGTGGGAGGTACGTTGATATTGTGATTTCCGATCGGAACTTCAACTAACGTGTCTGTGCGCGTGATGCCCATAATCGCGTGCCGCACACCCCGCAACATCAACACCAATCCACCCTTACCACTTCAACCACCCATAACTCCACAACTATGAGTTGTATCAACGCTGCGATTGAAGCTATTGAATCGCGTGATCCCGGAGATAAATTTACATACTCTGAGGTTGCGCGCCGCTTTGGTGTTGATCGCTCTACGTTGTCGCGACGCCATCAACAGATCCGGGGCTCAAATGAAGCCAAATCACGTAATCAGCAACTCCTTTACCTACACTAGGAGCTACAGCTTCTAGAGCACATTAATGAGCTTACTAAGGCTGGCTTACCACCGACGAGGACTATAATCTAGAACTTTGCTAGTGCTATAGCCGGAAGGGCTGCCTCCTAAAGCTAGGTGACGCGCTTCTTTCACCGTCATCCCGACGCGATTATATCACGTTGGTCAACTGGTTTGGACCGCAATCGCCACCAGGCTGATTCTGTATACAAGTACGAGTCGTACTTTGATCTACTATCTACTAAAATGGCTCAGCACTATATTCGGGCGCAGGATGTATATAATATAGATAAGAAGGGATTCCTTATTAGAGTAACGGGGAGGAGTAAGAGAGTGTTTAGTAAGCAGAAATATGAGACTGGGGGCTTTAAGAAAGTGATACAGGACGGCAACAGAGATTGGATCACTGTTATCGCTGCTATATGTGCTAATAGGAGTACGTTACCGCCCGCGATTATATACGAAGCTACTTCGGGCAACATGTACGCCAGATAGGTTGATGATATCGCAATTGACGATCTAGTCTACGTTACCTCAAGTCCCTCAGGGTGGACCAATGATTAGGTAGGCCTGGCATGGCTCGAACAGGTGTTTGATCGCCATACGAAGGAGAAGGCCGGCAATCACACACGCTTACTCATCCTTGACGGCTATGGGAGTCACGTTACTATGGAGTTTATTGACTACGCGATCGCCCACAATATTATGTTACTCGTACTACCCCCCCATAGTACCCATACGCTGCAGCCACTCGATGTGGTAATGTTCAAACCTCTAGCAGCCGCGTACTCACTCAGCTTGCAGCACTACCTCCAGGCGAGCCACGGTCTCTTAGCTGTGAGGAAGGATGACTTCTACCGTCTTTTTAAGCCTGCCTAGGACTCCTCTTTTATTAAGAAGCACGCGTTGAAGGCATTTAAAGCCACTGGGATAGCTCCTATAGATCCCGAAGTAGTACTTAAAAAGTTCCGAAAGTCAACACTAACAGCACCGCCGCCACTAGTGAACGTGAGTAGAGCTACTATCACGAACCTCATTAATCAGGCCTACGATCCGAGCTCTATTGCGGCCAACAACCTCTCAGAAATACTCCTCCGCCTCCAGGCTGCCAAAGAGATCGCCGAGTACGAGAAGGACGCACTGCGCGCGGCGCTACACGTTCACCAGAAGCCCCGCAATCGGCACGAACCTCCCCTAGATCTACAGCAGCGAAAAGCGTTCTATTCAGGGGCAGTTTAGTGGTCGCCGTGCAAGCTTCGAGAGGCCCGCTTTAGGCAGCTAGTGAAGGAGAAGGAGAAGGAGAAAGAGCTACTTGATAAGATAGAGTTGAAAGAGGCAAAGGAGAACAACAGGATCTATCAACTTAAGATCAAAGAGGCAGCGCGGGCGGCGCGTGAGGAGGCAAAGAAGGTGCGGGATGAAGCCAAGGCTGTAAAGGCTGCCGAACTTGACGCCAAACGACGCGATCGCGACGCTGCAAAGGCTATACAACAACCCTAGTCGGGCAAGCGTAAGGCTTCAAAGCCCGCTGCAAAGCAACAGCCAAAAAAACGACGCGTGGGTGGTGCTGGCGGTGGTACTCTGGCTGAGGTGGCTGCACCGGCTCCCCCACCAACAACCACCCGACGCGGCCGGGCCGTCAATACTCCGGCAAAATATAGATAGACAAAGTTGTAGAGCTACGTCTATAGATCAATACACCGGAAAATCTCGCGATAATAGTTATTGTACGTGGCTGCGCAGCCTCAACTTTGCCGTCGTCGCGATATTGGTGGGGTGTGCGGCACGCGATTATGGGCATCACGCGCACAGACACGTTAAGCTACCGTCCGTGCGCATGAAATGAGCCGGGTCGTGTTTTGAGCCACCCCTCAACTCCAACCACCCATACAAAACGCATCATAACTCCACCACCATGGACCCGATTCAGAAAGCGATTGAAGATATCGATTCGCGTGAAGAAGGCGCATCGTTTAGTTATCGCGAAGTTGCAAAAAAGTATAATATAAGCCGGGCTACGCTCGCCCGAAGACACTAAGGTCGAACAAGGCCGCACAGCGTTGCGCATAACGCGCTACACCCACAACAGGAGAAGGAGCTTGTACAATACATCAAGGGGCTCTCCGAGCGACGTTTGCCACCTACGAGGACAATGATACGCAATTTCGCGTCATCTTTGGCTGGAAAGGACGTCTCAGAAACCTAGGTTACTCGGTTTATGGCCAGGCACCCATCTGAACTCACATCGCGCTACATCTCTAGGATGGACCGCAAACGTCACAAAGCTGATTTAGGGGCTAAATACAGCTTGTACTTTAAGCTTCTGCATGCCAAAATGATAGAGTATAGGGTGCAACCTACTCAGATCTACAATATAGATAAAAAGGGGTTTCAAATTAGAAGCCTTGGGCGATTAAAACGCGTCTTCGACAAGGTGTTATATAATTAAAGGGGGGTTAGGGCATGCCTTTAAGATAGTAATACTTAATAGATTACTGTGTTAGCTTGCGTTTACGCCGATAGTACAGCTTTAAGTCTATCCCTCATCTTCTAATCGGACGCCGGGACCCTACAATTATTATAGGTTGATGCTATTAAAGCTGGAAAGCACTCCGTCTTCGTATCCTCGTCTCCTTCGGGCTGGACGAACAACGATATAGGGCTTGCCTAGCTTAAGGAGGTGTTTATAAGGGAGACGAGGCGTTCAGGAGTCACTAGGTACCGATTACTTATCCTTAATGGCTATAGATCTTATGTTACTATGGACTTTATCAATTTCTGCAACGACAACAAAATACTCCTCGCTGTCTTTCCCCCTCACGCTACCTACACGCTTCAACCCCTAGATGTATCGTTGTTTAAGCCTCTCTTGGACGCCTACTCAAATGAGCTCACGAAGTACCTTTAGGACAGCCAGGGGCTACTCTTAATAGTAAAAGGAGACTTCTTTCACCTCTTTTAGAACGCCTAGTGTACTGCTTTTAGGCCTTAAACGATTACAAAGTCCTTTAAAGCTACAGGTATTCACCCCCCTAATGCCGAGGTTATACTCAAAAGATTCGCCAAGGCGGGCTACAATTTAGATAAGAGCTCATCTTCCTGCCCCTCTAGAGACGATTAGCTTAAATTAGAGTCTATTATACGACGTACAGTGAAAGATCAAAGCAATAAGGACGTCAAAAAGCTTCGCCGAAGTCTCTATCACATCTCTGCCCAAGCAAGCCTCCTTAGGGGGGAAGTAAAGGGGCTAAGGGCTGCTATGGGCATCAAAAAGAGACGGGAAAAGAAGTCCTACACCCTACAACTTAACAAGCCTCATGAGTATCATAGTGGAGCCGTCTTCTAGTCTCCTAAGAAGGTCCGTTAGGCTCGGGACGATAAAGCGGCTCGACAACAACAACAACAACTTAAAAAAGCACAAAAAGCAGAGGCAAGATACCTAAAGGAATAATCTCGACTCTACAAGCTTTAGGAGGCCGAGCAAAAGCGTGTTAAGAAAGAGAGACTTAAGGAGGTGCGGGAGAAGGAGCGGGCTGCCGAGAAGGCTGAAAAAGAGCGTCGAAAAGCAGCTCGCGACTCTCAAAAAGCTATACAACAACCCCAAAACGGCAAGCGTAAGGCCTCACAAAGCTCTACTCAAAAGCAGAAGCGTTAAAAAGGTGTTGGTGATAG